TTTTTGCCTAAACATGATTATAGCTAAAAGCATATTATTATTGTTAATTCTCAATAGTTATAATCATAATTGTTGCTAATTTCACCGATTGGGTTATAATTATTGCATATCTTGTTTCAATTGGTGATTTTGAGTAATTTTTGGGCATAAATTTTTGTTCTCTTATTTGGTCCTATATATTAGTTATTGGACGTGTTATCACTTGAAGGAATCAATTAGAGATTATTTGGATCATTTTCGGATATTCATGGCTAAATTTTTAATTGTGTCCAATTACATGAGTTTAATTGCAATATTTTCCAATAGGTACTATGCCAAGGGGAAGACGTGTAATAACCTCGTCCTCTAGCAGTGAGGAGAGGGAGGTTAATGAAGAGATGGAGGTGACTGAAGAGGAGAATTCACCTTCTCCTCCGCCAGTTAACCGTCGACCTGGTGAGGGCACCTCCCGTGGAGCGGGAATGTCGTATTTGACAGTGCTAGGTTCAACACTCGCAGGAATCAGGAGTGGCATGAGGCGCGTGCTAATTTGGAGTTTTTGTTTGAGATGCACGTCAGTCCACCAGTTGAGATGATGTACAACATCTCAGAAGCTTTTGCTCAGCTAGGATGGGCTCCGATTCTCACCCTTCCAAACCATTACTACCCAGACCTGGTGCGCGAGTTTTACGCCAACATTGAAAGTAAGGCGCGCCATAGTGGAGAAATAATTGAGTCCTGGGTGCGTGGAAGACGAATCACCTTGTCACGGCAAGATTTGGCTGCTATTTTGGGGTGTATGGATGACGGACGTCCAGTAGACTTGAAGAAGGAGTTTGTTCCCCCGAATAGGAGGTGGGATCCCTCATTGGCCATGGCTAGGTTTGGTCTCGAGTACCAACCTTTTCGCTCTACCAGAAAGGAGACCATATTGGCGAATGTATTCGAACCTCGTCATCGTCTTATCATTTACATGATGGCTCACAATGTCATCCCAAAGAAGACGGGGCACATGGAGGTCCGCAAGAGCGATATCTACTTCTTGGATTACATGTTCCATAACCGGACATCTCCATATGCTCGGATTTCATTGCCTAACATCATCATCAGCCACATTAGGTCTACGGCGAGGCGTAAGACAACTTCCTTCAAACTATCATTTCCTCGTCTACTGACTTTAATCTTTCCCCGTTTTGAGGTTCCCTTGGAAGGCATGCGGCGGGAGTATGTTCCACCACGTGCTGAGATGACTATCACTACTCTTCGCCGCCTTGGTATTGGCACGGGAGACATTCCACGCCCTGTTCAGGAGCGGAGACAAAAGGCTAGACATGGTCGGGATGAAGCTGGACCTTCTACTGCAGCACCACCTCCTCCTCCACCACAAACTAATTGGCAGCGACTTTTTGATCATATGGAGGACTTTGCATTCCAGTTCGCTGACGTTAGGAATCGTCTAAGCCGAATTGAAGATCATTTGGGCATTCATCCACCGCCCAATCGTGATGCAGAGGATGACGATGATGCCGAGGGGGATGACTGACTTGGCACACTGCAGAAGCTATCTTTAGTTGATGAACTTGCTTGCCTAATTATCTTAACTTGTGGAACTTAAGATGTTTAACTTCATTTTATTTTTCTGTTTTCTATGTGGTAGGTACTTGTATTTTGACAGTGGTTCGTGATTAGTGGCTGATAAGGATCTCAGCCATTGACTTGGGGAGTACTTCTTTCTTTTCTTTTCTTCTTTTGTTTCATTTCTTCCCTACACATTGAGGACAATGTGTAATTTAAGTGTGGGGGGAGAAATATGTGTGATACTTGTGGTTTTAGTTGTGTTTGATATAATTCTTGTGCTTAAATGGTGTTTCTTGTGGTTGCTGGCAGGGAGTTTTAGTCCACTTTTAAGGGGAGATTCTGTCAAAATTTTTCCAAAACCTTATACACATATATGTTATTAACTATAATAAATAAATAAAATGTTGTCACTTATCCTTTTAAAATAAATATATGCGGTTTTGATACTTCTTTTCTCATGAAATTTGGAAATGATTTTTATGTGATTATAATTTTTACATCTATAGGAAAGTATATCTAGTAAAATGGAGAAAATTATGCCTACATTTTGTATATTTGATGAAAATTCTTCTTTTTATCTAATTTTATAAGATAAGAAATTAATATGGTTAATAAGTGTCATACTCTTCTCATGATTACTCTTAGAGGGAATTTTATTATATATATATATATTAAAAAAAAAAAGGGTTATTCTACTCCAATGATTCTCATACCGAGTAACCGGGGGTTGGCATCTACAAATGTCGACATTCGCGTAAAAAGGTACTTGAATTAAGAGTATGCAAAGCAACTTGAGTATGTGAAATGTTGAGTAACCGGGGATCTGCATCTAAAAATGTTGATCTTCGCGTCAAAAGGCATTTTTCACAACTTAAGTAATATTTAACCCTTAAAATATAAAAAAAATAAAAAATAAATAAATAAATAAATAAAAAAATTAATTAAATCCCTCTTTAAGAAAAATAAGAAGTTGATCATGAGATTAGTTAGCATTTTTATTGACTATAGGAGTTGCTTGCTTGCGAAATTGGATAAAAATAAGAAGTTGAGTTGAATTGGTAAAATTATGGTATACTTGGCTCTTCTTTGCTTGATATTATGAGTACTTGAACTTAATGGAAAGATCACATAAGAGTTATTTACCTTGATTCAAGGAAATGGAGTTGAAATACTACATATGTTTATTTTCAATTTTTTTGGATCATTGATGGTTAGAATTTTATATTGCTTGAGGACAAGCAATGATTCAAGTGTGGGGGTATTTGATAAGAGTTTATTTTACGTATTTTTAAGTGCATTTTATTAGTTAATTTTGAGTTGATTATTTAGTTTTATAAATAAAATAAAGAGGTTTTTGGTAAAATTATATATTTTTGGTAAAAGTGGATAATATTGCATTTTTAGTGATTTTAATGGTAAAACCTTCATTTTTATGCAGGAATGATGACTCAATCACCAAAGGATGGCAAATGAGATGAAAAATAGAGATTTGGTGATGAATTAAGTGGTGAAAAGAAAAATGAAGTGAAAAACGTTCAAGTGAAGAATTGCACTTCAAGTCAGTTTTGACACTCTTCAGTATTTTGACCATATCTGGAGCTACACTTATCGGATTGAGGTGATCTTTATACCATTTTAAAGCTAAGAAAGAGACCTACAATTCGTATGAAGACATCGAAATCCATTTCTGCCATCTTCATGGGCAAAACGTTGGAATACAGAAGCTGCATTCTGTGGTCGGAAGTTAAAACAGAGGTTTGAACAGGTGACAGTATTTCGATCATATCTCAGGCTACAAAGCTCCGATTTGGATGATTCTTGAAGCATTGGAAAGCTAACTCAAAGGGCTACAACTTTTGTGTTTTGCACAAAAGCTAGTTCGGCCTGCATCATGGAGAAAATTGCAGTTGAAATAAGGCCAGAGTGAAAACGCGAGTAGACAAAACGCGAGTTATGCCGCGTTTTGTGTAGGCGCGTTTTATAGCCGAAATTCTGCAATTTGACTCAGTCAATTCTCTTGTGTTCATACCACTTTCCAGCTATAAGATGCAAGGGAATTCGGTGCACATGCTTCTGCAATAAAAGAGAAGACCAAATGAGTGTGGACAAAAGGAAACATCATATCTTTGACTTCTTTTTACAAAATCTGAGTGGAGGAAATTATGAAGTGAGAGGAATGGAATTTCTACCACCTTTTATGCAGAAATATGGGGAGAGGTCTGGGATCCATTCGTAGCTTAGCTTCTTACAGAAAAACATATTCTCTCTACTTAGGACTTGCAAGGGGCAATTGGGATTTCATCTTGTAATCATCTAAGTTCAAGACAAAGGAGATTTTTGGAAGGCTTCACCATATCTTGGCTAAGACTTTCTTTACTCTGTTTGTATTTGTAATTCATGATGATTTACATTAATGAAGTTATGAGTGTTTTATCATTCATGAGTAGCTAATTTTCTTTATCTAGGGAGTAGATGAAGCTTATGGCCAAATGATATGAAGTGATTGTTATTCATTCTTGTTATGTCTTGTATTAACTTATCTACTTGTGTATGTTGGATTACTTGTTGTTGCTTGATCACCAATAGCAGGTTTATAGTTATTTTTATTCATTGAGAAATGGTAAAAATAATGGAATGACACAAGTAGAGCTTGAGTAGTATATTCATGAGAATAGAAATACATTCAAGTGGATGAAATCTGCATTTCATGTGTGAATAAGAACAGATTTAGTATTTACCAAGAGATTAGGACAAACTAATCTGTTTTAACCCATTATTATCATGAGAATGTGATTTTGGTATTTCTGGAAATGAATCCTTGGTTAAACAAGAGCAGTAACAAGTGTTGAATTAATTCATTTTAGATCTTTTGTGTCATAAGTGGAATCTACATCCCTAGATCTTAATATTTAGTGAATTCTACTCCCCTTGAGATATTGCATTTATCTATTTAAGAATTTTTGTAGTTGAATTAAAATCTGAAGTTTCTGCTCAAATTAATTGTGAGTCTAAATAATAGAGTAAATTAGTATCTAATAATTATTTTAAATTGCTCCTCGTGGGATCGACCCGATACACATCTCGTACTACAATTGCGACCTGTATACTTGCAGTCCAACGGGTGTAAATTCGGAATTAAACTTGCACTTAAAGTAAAAACCCGTCAAGAGGATGAAACAATAGGCATCATAGTCTTTACTTTTGCCTACATGAATTTGAAGTTATAGAGAAAAATTATCATAGCCCACAACTTTTGCATTTATTTGCCTGGGAGATTTTAAAAGTGATCACAGCCCAAGACCTAGAACCTCAATTTGGCATTGAATTAAATGCCAGACAAATGAAAGAGCACCTTCTCTTTTTTTTTTTTTTTCAGAAACGATAGAAATTTTATTGCAAATAAAAGGATAGTACAATATATGAGCAAGGGCTCAATTTGGACTTTACAAAAGTGTACTAAGACACAGAGGGTCTAGAATCTCCTCATCAAAGTGAAAGTGCATTGCTAGCTTACTTAATCTCTTACTTATGCTATTACCTTCAACAGGTAGGCTATCAAATGAGCATCTCCTAAACAAAGAACTGATGTGTCTTATGTCCTCCAGGTGGCCTGCCATACACATGTCCCTTGAAGCTTGACATTTTATCAATTGTAAAACCTGAGAGCATGATAGTAGAATCTTAATGTACTGCCAACCTTGTGCCATTATCTTGCATAGAGCTAGTTGTAGCGCCACAAAATAATCCAACGTAACAGAACCAGTGCTCCTCTCCTTCAATGCCCAGGCCGCACATATCTGGCTTTGAGTGTTTTGTACTGTGATGCCAATTCCCATATTCTGCCCTTCAGTATGTTGGCCAACTGCAATAGATATGGTCCGCATATTGTCACTCTCCCCCACCATTTCATCCTGGACTTCTGTTGTCTCTGTTTCTGAGATGCTCAGCTGCTGCTCTATCTGTTGGGCTTTTTGGAATTCCTCCCACTCCTTTACAGCTTTGGTAATTACTGTCATGGGATGCTTATGTTTCTCTTCAAATTCAACTTCATTCCTTGCTTTCCAGATTTGCCACAAAATTTCCACAGTCAATGCTATATGTTGCATTCCATCCTTACGGCTCTTCACCTCCATCAGCATGGTCCACCACCTTCTGAAATCACTTGTATATTCCGTCAGTCCATCCCACTGTAATGGAGCCATTTGCCATATCAGTGTTGCCTTTCTGCAATGGAAGAAAATGTGTTCTATTGTCTCACTGTTGTCCCCACATGTTTTGCATATCAGGTCACCTTTTCCAATTCTTCTAAAAATGGTTTCTCTTCCTGGTAATGTTTGGTGTAAGCACCTCCATAAAAACAACTTTTGCTTATGCTTAATCCTCATTTTCCATAGCTGGTTCCATACCTTTTCACAGCCACCTGCCCAACTTGTTTCTCCCCCTACCCGCACTTGAGGTATGCCCTGCAGATTCTCTCTTGCCAGATTCTCACAGCACCTTCTCACACATTGAAATTTTAATACTAAACAGATTTGCTGCTTTTCAAGAGATGGTCTGATCATGAAAGATATATGATATAGGATTATGGGTTAATGGATATTGTGCCCAATAAAAATTTAACTATGGGTAATGAACATTGGAATGTATTAGTGCAACAACTTGAGAATTCTTCATTTATCGATTTTGGACAACTAGTTGATATTGAAAGTGTGACACAAATAGTTTTTTTATCAATCAATAGATTTACCTAAACTATGTTTTGACCATAGGCTAATATGCAACTAGCAGAAATATTATTCTATAATGAATTATCTAATGAGTTGTATGAAAAAATTGTGAAATGTCTAAGTTCCTATTTTTATATTCATTTATTTGTCATGATACTGCTACTGAATGTTAACTAGAAAACCATAGATTTGCTTGAATCACAATATTCATAGTCAACATTATTATTAGCTTGAGCTTTTAAGAATTCTCATTGATTCTTCAAGTATTGTTACCATATGTGCTCTCTGGTGACAAAAAGCTTATTAATCTACTATAGTATAAATTGTCAATATTTGCTGCATGAAACAATTTGAGTTGTATTCGTTGTACTTTAGTTCATTGACCATCTACCTAGTAATGCAAAATTTTTTATCACTTACAAAAGATAGATATTCTTGTCCCAAATTTTATTAAGCAAAAAAAAAGTGACAACATATAGAATGGAATAGAAATGTTAACTTAGTCTACTTTTGAATTATTTCAAATATCATCATAATAATTTTTGTACAATATATTCTACTCAAAGTGCAAAAAAGAGGGTATCTATTGTAGAAAAGTAAAGCAAATGAATTTTAAAATGAATAATCCAAAATTATAATCTTTTCCTAAATTATATAGATATACACACATAGATATATATATATATATATATTCAAGAAAACCCAGTTCATAAATTTTTAAAACGAAGAACTATAATTTATAAATCGTAATGTTTTCTATCTATTATCTTTGATACTTGGAAAAAGACGACTAATTAGGAAATATGTCATGGATCCAGCACTATCTATCATATCCTGGCTTTTCAAAGAGATGACTCATTAGCAAAATTAAGTTAATATTTCAAAAAATTAGATGAACAAGATTTTGTTTTTCCCAATCTTATTTTCCTTGCAATTTAATTAAAGATGCACTGATGTAATCAATTTCAAATTCATATATTGAAAAATGGTTAGCTATGATGAAAAATCCTTGATTAATTGTTTTCCATTTCATACAAAGTTAGAAATGTAATGTATGTCCCCAGATGACACAAGCAAAAGGATGTCACAGTCAAAAGTAATATAACAATAAAATGAATAGCTCTTTATCTTTTTAGATTCCAAACTTATTTTCTTATCCATCTCTCTCTAGTATAAAACTCACTTCCAGTCTTCTTACTTGCATTTGTATAAATTCTAATTATTGGTTTAATTTTGGCCGTAGAGGATAAAGGTGTGGGAAATGGAGAACGAAAGGAGAAAAGGGAAGAACGCGGCGGGAAGTGTTATTAAACTTTGGACAGTTTGACTTATTTGACCAATTTAATCAACAATTGACAAGGCTACTATCTGAGTTAATACTAGAACAAGGCAAGGAATATGTTAATCTTTTGTATTGATCAAGGATAAGATATATAAGATCACATTCACATGATTTGATCAAAACCCTGGTTGAACGAAGAACTGATGAAAATAGCAAAAGATGGTTATATAGACTTTTCTTTTACTTTTTTTATGTTAATTATATATATATTTTTTGTGATTTTTACCACCTTGCCGACATAGGATTTGCATTATAGATGCACTTGTTTAAATGGAAAAAATTAAATTTATAGTAAATTAAATTTTCTTTATGTGTTTTCCAGTATTATATATAGTAAAAAATTGAATCATGTAATTAGATATTTTATTTTATTTATAATTTTAACACCTTTCATCATGCTTGTTTATTTAAGTTGTATCTTTGATTAAAAATTACTTCAAAACTTTTTTTGTAATATTACTTGTGAACTTATTCTAATGTAATATAAAAAATTAATTGAAAAATGTATTTAGGTTCTCAAATCAAATTGAAAGTTCAATTCTAATTAGCCCCTCCCTTTTTTTGCTTGTGCTTCTCTCTTTCTGGGCATTGCAAAACCAACAAAATTTATTATTACATTTCCATTAGTCATCAAAGTTGTTAAAATTTAGATAGCTGTTACAATGGTGTATTTTTGGAATTGCTTTAATCTAGAAATATGAACAATCTCTTTGTTTCACTTTAAAACTATAATGCATGACCAAGCGATATAGGGTTAATTTCAGAAAGCTCCCTTGAGGTTTATCCTAATATCACCTAGCATTTTAGAAATCTCACATGTCTCTCGTTGAATGACAATTTATGTAATATTGTCACCCTTTATATGTAAAAGTAATATTCAAAAATATATTCAAAGAAAGATATTATATTATCTTTCCATTGTTACCCTTGTACAATTTTATTTATTAATTTTAAAACAAGGAAAAAAAAGACAAATAAGGTGGAATATTAAATTTCTAATATGAGAAGGTGCAAGTGCAATAAGTAATAAATTTAGTCGTTTCATAATGTTGGAGAGGTAAAAAGAGTAGAAAGGAAATGGATAAATAGAAGGAGTTGAAATTCAAAATTCAGTTAACTATACAATAAATTGTTCTTTATCTTCCAAACTCTAAATTTTCGTCGTTAATTCTATTTGTCCTGGGATAAACATACAACCCATACCCTATCTCAACTATTATTCTCAATAACAATGTTAGTTCAAATAATAATTTTTACACATAAACACAAAAGCTTTTAGGGAGTTCTCATAATACTCTATGATACTTACAAGAGCATGACCTAGGTTTCGTTTGATAAAACTGAATCTGAATATTAAAACAATTAATTTGCTGAATTTTAAGCACTAAAATGAAATATATGAATGTCTGAATTTTAATACTAAACCTATTTATACTATTTGATAAACATTTATAACTGAATGCTTAATAAGCTAAATTGTACAATTTTGCCCTTCTATATTTTCATCCAAAAAAGAAATAGAACCTATGATTTAATTAGCTTAAAATTGCTAGGTATGAAAATGACAATATTTATTTTTAAATCAAATTATTATAAAAGATGAAATATATTATATGAGGAGTATAAAGTCGTTAGTTAGAGAATATCATATTGTTTAATTAGATAAGAACTTTGAACGTAATTAACAAACAAGGATAGCTTTGGTAGATAAGATAAGGTAGTTGAAGTAAAATCTATTTGTTCTTATCAAAATGAAGCATTTAGTTACGATTCTTGTGCCGAAAAAAATACACACAAATTCAGCAGATGAATCTTTATTTATCAAACACCCAAAACATTTGAATGTATGAAAAAATTCAGTTTCAACACTTTTTTTATGTTATCAAACAGACCCTAGTCTTGAAACAGCCAATAAATTCATATATGTTTTATTTGGAAACATGTTGGCTCACAAAAATTATGGCAAGATGACAACTAAGAAAAGGAAAAATAAATGGGATGTATTGGGATAAAATCTCATCAACCCTTCAATTTTCCATTTTCAATCATATCTGGTACTAAATTATATGATCAAGCTTTACTTTCTAGTTTGAGTTTTAATAGCTTCTATAATATATCAAGCATGCAAGTATACAATTTCATGATTTTTCTTTCATTTTTCCCGCTACTAGTGTGTCCAAGTAAACCTAGGACTATAGTCCAATAATGTAGATCAATTGTCTTCAATATATGGCAAAGAAATTAATCTAAATGCAAATAGTATTCTTATATGTCGTCACATTAAAGCATATTCATCTGACTAGGTAGATTGAACTTGAACAATTTGGGATATTATTACATAAAGTGATTACAGGCTTTGACAAAGGCAAGATTTCTCGTTTTTAGTCCGTTTAATAAAATGAATAGAAATAACTAAAATTTTTCATATGCAAGATTGGTAGACACTCCCAAATAGGGTTTTTTTTTTCTTTTTTTTTCAAGATTGGAGCATGGCTTAAGATCCTTTCAGTTATGTCAAGTTTAGCAAGTGTCATATGTAACTCGAAATATTAATTATTGATTTGGAAAAGTTAGTCAAATTTTGTTTGGATTATTCATTCGACAAATCCACGTATTAAAATTAGAAACTTTAAAGAGCAAGTATATTTAAAGCTTGTTTAGTAGATAAGCCGGAGAACTATAATTGGGGCATGTACAAGTGCAAGTGACCCAAAAAAGGAACCTACTTTAAGGTGTTCAAGTTTGGGTTTATTTTCCAATCAAGTTCATTATTGAGTTTTAGTTTTGGTAGATCAATTCTCAAGTCAATTCGAGCATTTTATCGAAAGATAATTTTATATTGAATTCAAACAGGTTAATTTATTAACTAGATGTATATTTCAAAATATTATGTTTGTAAAGTTAACTGGACTATGTCTTTTTCAGATTAATTTGATTTGATAAGTTGATAACTTAACTTTAAATGAATTTTGATCTAGCCAAACTTCGTTTATGTTTTGGCCAGCTATAATTAATTAGGATTAATCTTTTATACACTGACGGTGTATACACGGTCATACTTAGATGACTGTCACATATGCTAAATTTGAATTTTAAATCTAAATTTCACTTATATGGCATTCATCTAACGATG